TATTTATATTTTAACATCTTATTCAAATGAATCTCTTGCTTGATAGGTAATATCCAAGAAAATAAAAATTAAATCATTTTTTTCTGAAAAGCACTGAATCTTGGTAGAAACTTATAATCTGTTGATTCAGCCTCATAATGTCTTACAGTTGTTGCTAAAGAAATTAGAAATAAACTACTACTTCTACTTACCCCTTAAAAATCACTTGCCTAAGTCATTAGCCGCTAAAGCAATGTGACACTTGAAGCTTATTCTATGGTTTTTATGTTGATAGAACTCCATGATATTCTGCCCAAATGAAACTACACATGTATCAATTACTTTTTACTGACGTTTGTTCACCGCTGTGGCCTCTTTTCAAAGTAGCTTGTACCTGTGATTAGAACGTCCATAAAAAGAAATACACATTTGATTTTATTTGGCTAGAAGAGCATGAAGTTCTACCCTAAAACCATGTTCACAAAAATTATCAGGGGTCAATGAATAGGTTTAATAACGAGGTTTAAACGATTTTCACTTTCTTCGTTACAAAAAACATCGATCCTTTCCAAAATAAAACACAACTTGACCTAAAATCAAATGCCCTTTCCGAGTCTTACTTTGCAAGGCCAAAACTGGAAAAACGACGGTCGATGGAAACAGATAGATGATACAGCTTTTCGAGATGTACATGCTGTACCTACAAAAGAAACATACTTTTTTTAAACTAAACATGATGCCGTCGTTCGTCCGTCCAAAAAGACAGCCAACCATCGACCGATGTTACCGTGCTTTTTGACTACTCATTAGCATTGCGTGGTCTCTTATCTCTGGACAAAAGAAAGCATTCTTTATACCGGATGTGCGGTCTAACGAAATAAGGCAGGGCAAAGCGTCATCTATCACACCAGAATCGACCACTGCGAAAAGCACATATCTGCTATCAGTTTGAACTGTGACTAGACTACATCTATTTTACAACCAAAATCGTCAGCCATCTAGCGGTCACGTGGTGACTGGGCTATTAAACGCGGACTGAGATCCCTAGCAGATCCAACTAATAGCAGCTATGCGCCTTTCGCAGTGGTCGATTCTGATGTGATAGATAGCTGACTTTTTGCGTTGCCTTATTTCAATATTTTTCTTATAAACCACGAATGCCCAAGGCCTAACCTCCTGTGGGTAGCATGGTTCTATAAGGGGATACAAGGAAACGTGGGACGTCACATACAATCTGGACCCGCCTTAGAGATCCGTCGGATGGTATCTACGTTCGACCGTCAGAGACCCTCTACCATTCACGGACAATCAAAACATCCATAGCTAAGAGACAAATCCTCTTGGGACGGGATTCGAATCCGCTCCAGCTCACGGCGACTAATTACACATAGCGTCTACCACCACGCCACGGAGCTGCCTACATAATAGAATATAACGCCTTGAATAAAAAAATACCCTCTTTTGAAAATCTTCCTATGGCCCCAGTCCTATAAGGAACTATTCTCAGCGAAAGAAACTGGCAACCGCAGCCCAACTGCAACCTAACTCTGCACATGTATTCAAACACAGTTGTCACACCAAGAAGAAGGCAATTCGATCAGACGCTCAACTATTGCTGGCATTGTCGAAGCTGGTTGTAGTTGCCCACTAGTTGACGCAATCGATGGATGTCATTATGACACTTCAGCTAACGTTGCAGTCGCAAAGGCAAATAATTATTGTTGATGGCATTTGTTTCGATGGGATGCAAAAACAACGCAATCGAAGCCGAGACCGAGTTGAAATCGGGCTGCCGTTGGATTGCTTTTGGTAAAAACAGGAATTAAATGTAAAGATGTGTATCGAAACTTCATTCAACTGCACATCACTTGACGGAATGTCATTTCCTAGAGGCTGTTCATTTTCTTGTGCATGCTTGCCGCACATATTGCATAAAAAATCTAAGTAACTGAACAAGTACGTGTGTGAGTAGTTGAATTAAGAAGCAACCCGAAGGCAAAATATTCCGGCAAATAATGCGGGTAATAACGATTATTTTCACATTCCTGCACGGCATACTCGCCATTATTCATCTCAAACCGAATGTTATTATTATTTCGCGTATTAGCAAGTAATTGCGGGTATCCGAGCTCTCCTAATAATATACAAGGTGGCACAACTGGATGTAAACTGTGCTGTCATTTTAAATGGAGAGGTATCCAAGAATATTGATAGAAGAAGAACGCACAACAATCTCACGTATTTAGTTATTTTGTCTAGTTATGGAAAAGCTCTCTATATCATTGAGACCTGAGAATCTTAAAGGCTAGCTCTGATATAAAATGATATTGGAAATTAGGTCAAAAATTAGTGACAAGTAATGACTATGTACGTCCCAGGCAATTCTGAACAAATGGACTTTATTTATACATCAAGTATCTGACTCAACTTTTTGTAAGCTCTGGCACCTATTGTTTTATTGCTCTGAGCTGAGGCCATAGAGTAGAATATATATATATAGAGAGAGAAAAATGATCATGCGGAGAAAGGTAAATAACAAAAAGTAGGAAAATAATGGGCAAAATCTGCAAAAAGGAAGAAAGTGTATTCGAGCAGAAAATAAGATAGGTCACCCAAGCGATACGTATTTCTGCTGATTGGTTTCATCAGGCCCGAAATGAATGCATATATGAAACACCAAAAGTAGATACACATGCCCACACATCCGGATACGGGTGTAACCTGAGTAAACGACGATGGAAGGGGAAAAAACGACACACGAAGTCCACAACAAGAGCCAACCTACACATTGTAGTATAAAATGGCTAGAGGGCCTCGAATTTTCAAGGAGACATCTAACCACAATCCACTTTCCTCCTTGTTGAGCATTTTGCCCCATTATTTTCCTACTTTTTGTTATATACCTTTTATCCGCATGATCGGATTGTAGATCCTGTGGGCTTGAAGTACCACAGCAAGTGGCTATAACCGGCCGCGTGGTGGTGGTTAGATGTCTCCTTGAAAATTCGAGGTCTTCTAGCCATTTTATACTACAATGTGTAGCTTGGCTCTTGTTGTGGACTTCGTGTGTCGTTTTTTTTCCTCCATCTTCGTTTCCTCAGATTACACCCGTAGCCGGATGTGTGGCATGTGTATCTACTTTTGTAGTTTCATATGTGAATTCATTTCGGGCCTAATGAAGCCAACCAGCAGAAATAGGTATCGCTCGGGTTAGCGATCCTATTTTCTGCTCGAATCCACTTTCCTCCTTTTTGCGGATTTTGCCCTACTTTTTATATACCTTTGTAGATCCTTTGGTCTTGAAGTACCACAGCAAGTGGCTATAACTGGCCGCGTGGTTGGGATTAGATGTCGCCTTGAAAATTCGAGGTCTTCTAGCCATTTTATACTACAATGTGTAGGTTGGCTCTTGTTCTGGACTTCGTATCTAGTTTTTTCCCCTCCATCTTTGTTTCCTCAGGTTACACCCGTATCCGGATGTGTGGGCATATCTACAGGTAGTTTTGTAGTTTTATATGTGCATTCATTTCGGGCCTGATGAAGCCAACCAGCAGAAATACGTATCGCTCGGGTTACCTATCCTATTATCTGCTCGAATCCACTTTGCTACTTTTTGCTGATTTTGCCCATTATTTTCCTACTTTTTGTTATATACCTTTCTCCGCATGATCGTTTTCTATTTGTAGATCCTTTGGGCTTGAAGTACCACAGCAAGTGGCTATAACAGGCCGCGTGGTTGTGGTTAGATTTCTTCTCGAAAATTCGAGGTCTTCTAGCCATTTTATACTACAATGTGTAGGTTGGCTCTTGTTGTGGACTTCGTGTGTCGTTTTCCCCCTCCATCTTCGGGCCTGATGAAGCCAACCAGCAGAAATACGTATCGCTCGGGTTACCTATCCTCTTTTCTGCTCGAATCCACTTTCCTCCTTTTTGCGGATTTTGCTCATTATTTCTCTACTTTTTGTATATATATATATATATATATATATATGTGTGTATCAGTAAAATAAGTATTGTTGATCTGGCAAAGCTTGAAACTATGAACTAATTGAATAGGCACTTTTATAGTATCTGACTAAACTTTCTTCTACTTGCCGGCTATGGACACCTTAACAGCTGGTCATGTATTATAAAGAATATATTTGACGAAAAGGTAATTTCAGTAATTTTTTTTTAAATAATCGAGGACAACTTTCGTTGCTTAGAGTACAGATACTAAAAATAGGGAAGAGTCTCCAATCCACGAAATATCTTCATATTCACAGAATACTGGTAAACCGCCATTGGTTAGTACCCACCTGAATAACTACAGTCCTAGTGTCGTCACTGTATCTGATTATTTGTAGTCAGTGAATTACATTGCCATGGTAGTCCCAATTGTTTCATGCTATCGCTAGGACGACCTCTTCTCAGTCGCTCAGATAACAAATTTGTCGCATGATCGTTCGCCCGGCAGCGGCGTAATTTGTACGTTTAAAAAATATTTCTGGCATTCGTGCACACCAAAAATACTAAAACTTAATATATATCTATTGCTGCCATATCCGGCCAGATGGCAGGGTATTATATTATATTCCCTGATTGAATGTACGAAATGTGGATGTTAGGAAGGAAATAACAAATTAACCTCATTTCAATTATTAGAAAAAATGTGCGCCAAATGTGCGAAAGTGATAAGCTCATTTTCAATGAAAAAGTCCATAAACGGTATTTAGACGTATGTTTAGTACTAGGATTAGATGTTTATAAATTGTTACAAGTTCAAAATTTATTACCTCTAATACAGCCAGAAATTGTACTTATTTTGTGCAAGTCGTATATATTATTTTTTTTTTTTGTAAAGAGAAACGTTTCTCAGAAAAGAAAGGTTTGTATTGTTACCTGTGTCTGTTATCTCAAGCTAAAACAGAGACAACTAATATCTAACAGATCTGCTGATATAGATAAACTCCTTTAGAAAACCACTAATTTGAGAATGTCTTATGTACCTGCAACTCTGTTCTTATGGTTTCCATCTAGGTCTAAGAAATTGTAGCTAGAAATAATATGCTGTATATCCTTATCAGTGGTTTTATTGATTTAGTTATTGACATTGTATTATGAATTCTGCATTTTGCATTCAGTGTATACAGTATTCTCTGGATTCCACCTGGTGAACCTGCCCTAGTGAACCTGAAACAAAGCTAAATAAGTAGCAGATAATTAACTCACTATTGTAATCAAATTACTTGATAAATCGGTGCCTAAAGCAAATCTAGACCTTGTTTATAATTCTATAACCTATGTAGCAATGAATTTTGTAGACAGGTGTCAAGTCGGCTGTCACTGTCAGAGGTGAAAATCATAGCATGCCAACTGGTGAGGAAATGTCAGGCGCGAGACGCGCGCAACAAGTAAGGAAAAAAAGATCGCCATTGCAATTTTTCGGATTTAAAAAGAGCGTCTGTTTCGCAAGTGCGGATTTAGTTCCGAAAAATAGCTGAAAAAAAGGAAAATCTTTACAATTTCAAATGCTGTAAGCGTTCACACCACTAGTATTGTGGGATTTCTAAGATTGGAAGATTTCCCTCCACTTCAAAGGCCACCCTACACCCTAAGTAGGTATCTTACCGTTTTATTGCTGCCTTCTGCATTTTTCATACATAACTGAGACCAGGACTTGACCAGAGCTCCATTCTGCAACCTCAGAAGATAACCTGCTGCATTGGGCCTGGCATCGCTTGAAACCTTAACGTTGTACCGCTTTGGCTGGCTTTCTGCTACATTCCTACATTTTACCTTAGGACTGGTTAGCACCACCAAGGGACCTCCAACAGGTTATTCCAGAGATTACAGGTCAGACTAGTCTATAAGGCTTATGTAAGACTTCAGGTTGCTTGGACAACTGAAATACAGAGTACCAGATTTGTTGACTGTATGATTATCCACTTGTTAGGATCACTTTGTACTCGTTTCACATCTCAGTGCGTATACTTACCTAGCAGTAGATCACGCCATAGACATATCTGGGGGCCCCCCTACTTTCGTAAAATGTCACTTTGCCCAGTAAATTGTGTAATATTAGACCTAGCATATCTGAATGCAAGTGTACGACTTCTTATAGTCCTAGGAGGTAACATATAAGGTAACCGACCACTCTTTTCGTGGGATTCTTTTACATAGAATACGGCATTGTATTTTCATGAAATATATATCGTTTCAATCTGAACTTTGTAATTTCTTTCATTGTTTACAATTTCTACAGACAATTCGACAGGTTGACAGTTTGACACCGTGGAACCACGGAACCCCATATAGAACTGGGCTCCCTGATGCCACTACCTGGGAGTAGTCACGGCGATTGTAGAGTAGTAATACTATTTTACAGTACAGATATAGATGTTCGTAAATCGTAAACTAGTGTGACGGCTGATCACTGTCGATCGTCGTCCTCGCCCCAAAGACCGTAGCAAAATATACTATTGTCAAAAAATTGCGATAAATCCTCTCCTAATCCCTACAATGCACCACCTGTAATTTTTTGCCCCACAGAAAATTTCAAAAACAGTCAGTATCGGGAAAAAAGAAAGTGCGAGCGATTTTGCTTTTTTTCTTTTTTGCCTTTAGCTGAGCTGGCCACTAGAGCGATTTACAAGAACTACATGCCCTTTCATCTTTGGCATAGTAATAACCATGTGTGAAAGTTTTATCAGAATCCGAGGAGTACTTTGGAAATTATAAACGGACCAAGGATTAGTGGACAGGCAGACAGACCAACAGACCGACTGACCGACAGACAGAAAGATCGACAGGCCGACGGCGATGAGTGACATGGTTTTTTTGTGGAGTACATACATTTCATACTCGTATAACATCCAAAAGACATAATTCGAAATTTTTCTCGATTAACATACTTTTCCGTTAGTAGCGTGGGAAGTTAAAAAAAATTACAAATATCAGTAAGCGTCTCTATTTGCGTAATATTTGGGGAGCGGCAAGCTGAATGAAATTTTGTCATATGCCCAAATAGAGAATGTCGGGCAGGTTCAATCGGCATTTATATCAAATTAATAACTCACTAGAAATATGATTTTTGGCGTTTGAACTTGAACAACTTTAGATGTAGCAACATATTATATGAGCTTCACAAGTCGAGCCATAAGAAAGATACACGCAAATTTCATTTTTCAACTCATTCTGGATACATTAATTGTACTGTGAGCAAAGAGCGCGACTGTAAGCATAAGTTGGTGGTTAGTTTACTCAGCTTCAGATTCTGAGACGTTCTAAATTTTGTTTTAAATTTCTTAATTGGTCCTGCGCTTTGAAGAGCCAGTCACAACCCTGGATCCTGCTGATCCTGATGAGTTAATGACTCCTATTTTCTACAGATACAAGAATGTTTACTCTGACAAATTCAGTTGCCGAAAAGTAGGCATTAGCTGCAGTCTTATCTATAATGGCTGCCAGAAGCATGTCCCAATGGCCCGATCGATGTTGATGAAGAAAATAAAGTTGATCACGATATTGTTAATATTTTACGAGAGACAAGCAAAAAACTGAAAAAATGAACCTTTCCCCGTACCTCAACTCATGCCCACAATCGGAGACTTTTAGTATGTTTGTCAAGGAGTAGCTGTACCAATTTTAAAAACTACTCGAATTTTCTGGTTTGATAGACGATTTTTATACTAAGCTTCTTAGACATACGTACCGTAACATGTTGTCTATTTTGTGACACCCTGTACAGGCATCCAACACAGATTGCAACTATTTAATATAACAGTAGTAGGCAGCGCTGACCGATCCATTATCTTGATGCCACTATTAGAATATAAAGAAGTACTTTTCGTACTCTGACACTGTTACTGTTAGAATTGATTAACGATATCGTAACAAATTTATGGCCCGTTGGCCCCACAGGCGGTTGAACATCGCATCGTAGATTAGATTTTGAAAATCAACTGAAAATGTCACATAGATTCAGGACTAGGATTTGAAAAGCCCAAAATGGAAAATTGAAATTAAGTAGACTGCCTTTTTACCACCCGTTCCTAAAACTAACGTTTAGCAAAATATCTGTATACACTTTGCTGGAGTCAAAAATCTAGGCGATACTTCCGTAGTCAAAAAAAAGACATTTCTGCAAATATAAAACCAGAAACTTATTCAGTGGTTTTCATGCTGATGGGACTTGATTTTCTGGCAGCTAAATAAACCACATATTATGTTATTTGTATGTCGAGAAAAACGTAGTGGGCTAAATCCGCCAATGCACAAGAAATAATATACCTACAACGTAATGATTGGTTGTAGGCATGGAAAGCAGTAGTAGCAGTGGTGAGGAGGTCTGGCAAATAGGTCACCTTTGACCCTTTTGCCGACCCCGTTGTACCATCACTGTACTTTTCCACATGCTGATCTGTTGGATACTGACTATTTTTTATCGAATAAACCAGCTACAGCGATGTGATGCTCCGATTTGATCTTGCATCTATCTGATGCGTACATGGCAATGACAGTGGAGGGGAGGGAGAAGTTTCAGTTGCGACAAGTATATGGAACACTCTTTCTAACACGCTTCTCTCTCTCGCACCTATAGGAATCTAAAAGGGAAAATGACTTGCCAACACTGTATAGACAAACACAACATCCATGACTCGGATGATTCGAAGCTAGAATTCGAACCCGTGAGCCTTCGAGCCGTCTTGCAGCATGGAAAAAATGTATCCCGGGACCATGTCTGAAACCGGCGGCCAAAAAGCTTTCAATGAGCAAAAATCAAATACGTGTAGTTACAGGTCTAATTGGGACAATGGTCTGCACAAACAGGGCTCTATAAAACTGCAAACAATGTGGTAGAGAAACAGAACCAGCCCATGATGTCCTATATGAATGTGAAACGCTAGATCGGGGAAACCAAAAACAGAAAAGATGAAGCTTAGAACAGTACAGGCAGGATATCTGTACTAGCTGGTGCAGAACACCAGACTGCTAGATTGGGTACCTGTAAATTTTCAACAACTGGGTACAATGTGCCCAGAGGTTGCAGTGCCATCGAGGAATTCGGTCGGACGACTCTTACAAAATAAAAAGTTTTCGGCATCTGACAGTGCACTGATTTCCAAAAATACATGATCATCAACCCCATATCATACCGCTGACGAAAATCCAATAAAATTGGTCAGAATTTGGTTACAAAGATGGCAACAGTTAGACTGACTGAGCGATGAAAATAAGTAAGATTGATTAGCCACTCAGGCAGATCCGATTTTTGAACTGCCTAAGGTTAGTAGACCTGAAAGGAGCGGTCGTATCAGCCAGTTCAGGGTGTACAAACTTCGACACGTTTAGGATGGGTAGCCTGAGTCAGGCGGGTCTGTCTGGCAGACACATCGCGCGACAGCATCATGGAGGAGAGCTCTGAGGAGCAGAGCCCGTTGGTGTAGCGGTTGAAAGGAGCTAGATCGCCGACCGCCCGTCAGTGCGAAAGGATCCCGGGACTGTCTGTTAGAGAAGAGTCATCAGGGTTGATTTTACAGGAAATGAGGTCGTTGACATGAAAGAGGAACAGTGTTGGAGCCAAGTCCCTGGGGAACGCCCGCGTTGACTTAGTGGCATGAAGATGAGAAACCGTCAGCTACGATGGATACCTTGTGACCAGAGAGAAAGTCAGCCACCCATCTGCAAAGCTTCTCTGGGAGGCCATAGGATGGAAGTTCACATAAGAGCTGCCACAGCTGATCGAACGCTTTGGTCATATCAAGAACAACGGCATGAGCCTCACCATAAGACTGGATGAGTTTGCTCCACAATTGCGTGACGTAAGCTAAGAGGTTCCCTGTGGACCGCTGGCATAGGAAACCATGTTTCCTGTCGCTAAGCAAGCCATGACATTCGAGGTAGTCCAGAAGTTCCTTTCCATCACCGTACTTATAACAGAAAGCAGAGCTATATGCCTGTATTTGTGAGGATCGGTCTAAGATCCTGTTTTTCGAATGGGTTACACATGAACAAATTGCCAGTATCAAATCAACGACAGGAACCCAGTCCGGACCAGAACCTTTGTTGACGTGGAGCGCCAAATGCACCCGCCTTACGGTCGTATGCCTAAATGTTACTTCCCGCGCAGTGCAGGTAACCCTTTGAATTGGCGGCACTTGTTGGAGTTGGCATCAAAGACGCTGGCAGGCGCTTACGCCTTAGCCTTTGAGACGATTACAATCGTTCCATCCTGACGCGTAAGTAATGGAAGACTACTCGGTGAGACGTTCCTTTCAATCTGCTTGGCCAGCGTCCAGAAAGACTGACTGCTATTGCGCTGCAACATTACCCTGTGCCTAACTTTTATATCGTGCTGGTCTTTGGCATTGCGAACCACTCATATTTGTTTCTGGACGCGACGTCGGCTTGTCTGTTCTCTACAGTGTGGTTTTGTAAGAAGTTTCTGTGTACCTTGACCTTCTGCTGGGGAGCAGTGTCGCATGATTTGATGAACCAACCGTTGGACCCCGGTTTAGGCACTTTCACAGTATGAAGGATGTATTCCTACGTCCAAATGTAGATAATTTCTGTTATCGATGAACACACAGACGACGCATTCGCGCCAGCGAAACAAACATCTCTCCGAGGAAAGGTGGAGAAGAAGTTTCTGAGACCCTCCCAGTCAGCATGTCCGTAATGCTAAGTTTTGCAGCCAGGGCGAGTTTCCGCTGCCACAGCGGGTTCTGGCCGAAACCTAACCTCCACAACACCGTCGTGTGAGTTACTCAGAGGATACCCGACAGCAGTGCTGTAAGGGACAGG